TGATTAGTATTTAGTTAATAGTGTAGATAGAATTAGTTTCTTTTTTGGTCCCCAATTTTGGGGTTTCCATTTCTGGGTACCCACGAATGCCTGGGTCACCTGGCTTCAAACCCTGCATCTCTTGCGCTAGGCTGATGCCTGTGAGTAACTCTCACTCAAGCTGCTTGAAGTGTTTTGGGGAAGCTCATATTCAGGATTGTTGCCAAATTTTCAAATTCTATGCCTCACTCTATGCCTAAGACAGAGAAGCCAGCCTAAAGTTTTTGCTTATGGAGGAGGCCCTGAGACCTCCATCAAAGCCCAGCCATTCAGACTCAGCACTGAGTACTTCGACATCAGTTAGGAATGTGCCTGGCACCATTTGCCCTCCCCAGTGCCTAAGAAGTGGCATCAGACCTCTAAACTGACTACCGAGAGAGGAAGGTCGCCGGCACCACTGAGAGAGGGAGGTCATCGTCTAAGCATGGGGATAAGTAGCGTGCAACCGAAACCCAAGCACTCCTCTTCATTGGTAGCACAGAAACTGATACCATTGACTCTTGCACCCAAGAAAGTACCGTCAAGTCTGAGGCCTGTAGTACCTCAGCATTCTGGGACCATCTCGTTACGGACCACACTGGAGATGTTTGCGGCAGAGAGAGATGTTTTGAGCCTATCAGTACCAGTATCCCTGAGAGTGCAGGAGACTGCGCTCTTGGTACCAGCAGACAAAGGGGTGCCAGTATCATTGGTGCGACCCTCAGTTCTGCAACAAACTCCATTGCCTTAGAGTGGGGGCAGCCCCCCTCTCCCTTGGTCAATAGAGGGATTCATTCACCTCTGAATTGAAAATTGGCTCCTATATTTCGCATCCATGGGAGCTGGTCTCATTACTCTCCACTGAGGTGTTACTACCCTGGGGTGCCTTGGGATCCTCCAGCTGGAATAGGATCAGGCATGTGGCCGGGGAGTCACGGGGGCTCACTACTGGTCTAGTAGTGGCCCTTTTGGAACTTGGGGGACTCCCCCTGGTTTCTAGGTCATACACCAGGTGTTCCCCAGAGCCAAGCAGCAAGAGGCAGTTCAGGAGGGTCCTGCTGGACAGCTAGTGGAGGAGGCACAGCCTCAGCTTGTGCTGGCTTCTTCATTCTCCTCTTCTGATGAGGCAATTTCCTTGGGAGGCATCTCACCTCATCCTGATGATTATAAAACTCATAACAGCTATTGAAGAGGGTAAGTTTGGGGATCCAGGTAGAGGAGGTTAAGAAGTCCTCAGACCACTTTATTGATATTTTAGCCACCACAGGGCCTTCACAGGTATCCTTATCTATTAAAGAGGTAATTATGAAGCCCGTTAATCTTTCTGGAAGATCCCTTCATCCCTTCCTCCCACTTCAAAAAGGGCTGAATGTAAATATTATATACCCTCCCAAGGGGTTGAATATCTATACTTTCATCCCCACCAGGCTCTCTGGTGGTGCCAGCAGCCAATGAATGGGAACGGCAGGGACAACAAGCAGCAATTCCCAAATCAAACGATGCAAAAGAACCTAGATATATTTGGTAGAAAAGTTTATTCTACTGAGGGATTGCAAATCGGAATTGCCAACCAACTAACTCTTTGGGACATTATGATTGTAATGTTTGGGACTCCATGTTAAAGTTTAGGGACATGTTGCTGGAGGTTGCTAGACAGGAGTTCTCTTTAGTTGATGAGGGGAAATCTGTAGCAAGAACTTCACTACAGGCTGCACTGGATGCGGCAGACTCCGCTGCTAGGACTATTGCTTCTGTGGTTTCCCTCTGCCCATGTTTGTAAACTACCTTTCCCGCTTCCTCAATGTTTGGTCCTAGATTACACATTTTGGAGAACAACAGCTACGGAAGGTTAGTAACCATTTGTTCACCACTAGGAACCCAGTTCTCTGCGTGCAGGATATGAATAACTCATAGTCACTACAATGGAATTACTCATCACCTACAGTTTAAGAATAAAGATTTAGCAATGATTAGAGTTCTGTGGGAATCAAATAAATTAGTAAATTCTCTCTTTGCTGAGTAGGTTCTTTTGTTGAGTAATATCTTATACCTTAGATAAGCTGGGTCTCCCAGGATCACGATTGGGATTTCAACATCACCAATGGTTATTTTGCAGTCTGGAAAGAAAGTCCCTGCTTACAGCTTTTTGAAAAGACCTGTGTTCCTAAAGATGCCTGCGTCATGCACCTTTCCCGACCATCCCACGTTGGTGTTGGTAAAACGGCCCCTGTGATCCACCAGCGCTCGCAACACCATTGAGAAGTACCCCTTTTGGTTTATGTACTCTTTGGCAAGGTGGTCTGGTGCCAAGATGGGGATATGTGTTCCGTCTATCTCCCCACCGCAGTTAGGGAACCCCATCACGGCAAAACCATCCACTATGTCTTGCACGTTGCCCAGAGTCACTACCCTTCTTAGCAGAAGTCTTTTGATGGCCCTGCAAACTTGAATCACAACAAATCCCACGGTAGATTTACCCACTCCAAATTGATGCTCCATTGACCAGTAGCAGTCTGACGTTGCAAGCGTCCATGGAGCTATTGCCATTTGCTTCTCCACTAAACTTCTTGCTTCTCCAAATGAACTACGCTATACTAGAAAATGAGTGCACAACTGGTTGGAAAAGTGTACTCCAAGAATAGTTATCAGTGGTTCACAATCAAGCTGGGAAGGGTATATTGAGTGTGGTCCCACAGGGATCAGTTTGGAGTCAGGTCCTATTCAATATCTTCATAAATTATTTTGTTAATAGCATAGAGAGTACACTTTTATAAACTTTGCTGATACCAAACTGGGAGGGGTTGCAAGCACTTTGGAGCACAGCCTTAGAATTCAAAATGATCTTGACTAACTGGAGAAATGGTCTGAAGTAAATAGGATGAAATTCACTAAGGACAAATGTGAAGTACTACATTTAGGAAGGAACAATCGATTGCACAAATAACAAAATGGGAAATGACTACCTAGGAAGGAGTACTGAAGACAAAGATCTGGGGGTTATAGCGGATCACAAATTAAATATGAGTCAGCAATTTAATACTGTTGTAAAAAAGCAAACATCATCCTGGGATGTATTAGCAGGAATGTTGTAAGCAAGATAAGAGAAATAATTCTTCCACTCTAGTCAGCACTGATAAGACATCAACTGGAGTATTGTGTCCAGTTCTGGGTGCAATGCTTTGAGAAACATGGACAAATTAAAGAAGGTCCAAAGGAGAGCAACAAAATTGATTATGGGTCTAGAAAACATGATCTATGAGGAAAGATTAAAAAAAACTTGTTTTGTTTAGTCTGGAGAAGAGCAGATTGAGGGGGACATAACAGTCTTCAAATACATAAAAGTTTGTTATAAAGAGTAGGGTGATAAATTGTTCTCCTTAACCACTGTGGATAGGACAAGAAGTAAGGGGCTTAAATTGCTGCAAGGGAGATCTAGATTAGATATTATGAAAAACTTCCTAATTGTCAGGGTAGTTAAGCAGTGGAACAAATTACCTGGGGAGGTTGTGGAATCTCTGTCATTAAAGATTTATAAGAACAGAGTAGATTAAACACCTCTCACAAATGGTCTAGGTAATACTTAGTTGTGCCTCAGTGTAGGGGACTGGATTAGTTGACCTATCAAGGTTCCTGTCAGTCCTACATTTCGCTGATTCTACAAAGATCGGGTAATTAGAAGTCTATATGACATGCTTGTAAAGGCATCTTAAAAGAACAAACTTTTCACATGAAATACATGCACACAAGTCCAGGTTGTGGTCTTCAGAAAACGTGGCCCCAAGTCTGGTGTATTTGTAGTAATATTGGCAGACTCTGCTCAGGACAGGCTTAAGATGTAAAAGGCGTTGCAGGTTAGGATGGAGGAGGAGTAGCAGAACTACATGGAGAATTTTGTACTGTATCTTTCTACATGATACCTGGCTATAGGTTGCGTTATTAGGGAAAGGTCCATTGACTACTGAAGTCCATGGAAGGACTCAGTGCATGTTAGTCAGTTTCTACAATATTGAGCACTCAAAGCAGGAAAATAATTATTTTTAATGGTATCTATGAATATCTGATTCAAATTATACTGAAACTAAATACCTGGGTTTCTGTTTATGAAAACCTGTCAGATTATATAACTGACACGTTTACCTTAGTATTTTTTAATTGCACTTGAAAAGATTACTTAATCTAGTTATAGGGCTCCTCAGATAGTATACATCATCCTAGCTGAGCACAGATGTCACTGTAGCCACCTCAGTTTACACCAGCTGAGGAGCTGTTCATTAGTGTATTGGATATATTAATTTTTTTTTTAGTAAATACATTGTCAGCCAAATAAAATCCCTTTTACTTCTCTATTTCTTTCATCTAACATTCTTAATGAACTCAGTAATTACAAGTTTTTGTTAAGATTGGCACCTTTAATACCTGTCAGCCATAGGCGCCAACTTTCCCCAGCGCCGGTGGGTGCTTGCGCCCCCCTGGCCTCGTCCCAACTCCACCCTTTCCCCACTCCCACCCCACCCCCATTCCAATCCCTTTCCCAAAGTCCCCGCCCCAACTCTGCCCCCTCCCTGCCCCTATTGGACCCCTTCCCCAAATCCCCGCCCCGGCCCCGCCTCTTCCCTGAGCGCGCCACGTTCCCCCTCCTCCCCCCTCCCTCCCCACGCTTGCCACGTGAATCAGCTGTTTTGCGGCGCAAGTGCTGGGAGCCGGGGGGAAAAGCAGGCACGCTGTGTGCCCAGGGGAGGGAGGCGGAGGTGAGCTGGGATGGGGGGGCGGGGAGCTGCTGGTGGGTGCTAAGCACCCACCAATTTTTCCCCATGGTTGCTCCAGCCCCGGAGCACCCACGGAGTCGGCGCCTATGCTGTCAACTGTTAAAAATAATCTTTTTAACATAACAGTAATTCAAAAGACAGTCTTTTAAAAAAGCATTCATTTTGGATCACTTGTGCCATTCTTGAATTCTGATTTTCCAACTTTTTCTGTTGCAGGTAAATATGCTGAAGATATATTTGGTGAGCTTTTCAATGAAGCACACAGTTTCTCCTTCAGGGTTAACTCCTTACAAGAACGTGTGGACCGTTTATCTGTCAGTGTTACACAACTTGACCCAAAGGAAGAAGAACGTAAGTTTACTTCCACACATGACTGTGATTCTTACATTGAAGAGTATTTAATTTGTGCTGTAAATAAATTGATATGCAAAATGGAAAGAAGGATGATTTTGGGGTTAAGGCACAGGACTGAGGACCGGAGGCATAGGTTCTCCTCTTAGTTCTGCAACAGACTTCCTATGTGATCTTGAGCAAGTCATTCAGCCCAAAATGTTCATACCAGGGTGCTGAACACCTACAGCGTCCATTGACTTAGATGGAAGGTGATAGAGGAGTGTGACATGGCATTACTATCTATTATATTTTTGTTTTTATTAATTAAGTCAAATTCTGGGAGTAAACCTGTACTCAGTGTTTACCTTCATCAGTGAGATTTATAACCACTTGTGTGAGTAAAGTCTTCAGTAATCGACACATTGTCATTCTTTATTAAAATGTGTACAACTTTGGGCTCATGGTGAAGTTTGAACGGTAGCCCTGTTTGTCAAAGATTGTTTCACACATCTGTCCCAGGACAGGCATAATGCTGTTCAGCTCTACCCTCTCATCCTTCTCTCATCCATACTGTCCATCATCTACTGATCTTCAGTGAACAACTCATTGTTTAGCTGTGGAACTTTGACATCAGAAAATCAAGGATTAGCCTTTGCCACCTCTTCCCCCATCTTTTTGGTCGTTTGTGTTTTTTTCGAGATTATGAAAAATTGACCAATCAGCACTCTCCCTGTCTTTTCCTGTCCCCCTTCACCCTTTTCTCTCCTTCCTTTCTTCATGCATATTTATTAAAGTACCTTATAATTGTTAAATCTTTGTTATATTTTGCTAAAAAATAAATCTTTGATCCATATTTATTTAGGATTTATTTATTTTTGCCTAAGTGAATTTAGTATTCAGGAAAGGTTCTGGATGACTGTCCTGAGATTGAAATCCTCTGCTTTTCCATACTGTTGGGTTTCAAGACTTAGTCATGAGATTTGGAATCTGTCTAACAAGCCAAAATAATGGAACCTTTTGAAGAGGGCAGATCATGTAACCTGTGAGGGTACAAAGAATGCTATAGTTTCCAATTCCAGTTTCTTTTTGACCACACACAAAAATCTAACAGCTAAGGCCATAACTCTGTTTTAGAGAAAGATGGGTGAATATAAATCTGTCATAATCGCTTCTTTCAAAGAACAAGAATGACAGATAAGTAATTTCCTTTTCTCCACAGCTTTGTCTACTGTAGCAGGCTTCAGTTATAATTCTCTATGTATGATAGCAGCAGTGGAAGCTGCAGTGTAGACAAGGCTGTTTCACCACTAAGTCACTAACCCTACATGGAATAAAAGGATGTAGGTTCTGTGACTGTTTCTGTCATGGATCTCCTGTACAGTTAAGCAACATGGTTAAAACACCTGTTCCCTGTCTATACTTAGACAGAATCCACCATTTTACCATTAGTGAAGATATGAAGTTTGGTAGTATAGATGCAATGCAGAAGTAAATGAGTTATAAGAGAGCTGACGACTTGAAAAAAATGGAGAAGCAATGTTTTAGACATGTTTCTCTGCAACACAGTTTGACCTAAGGTGCAACTGTCAAAAATAAGGCATAAATGACTTGCTTAAAGAATTGTTACCAGAATGAGTATAAGAACATGTAAAATATTATTTGAGTGATTGACTGATTCAACGTACAGTTTCAGAGCTAGCTAGGGAAGGCGTTTAGGAGGAGCCCACAGCATTACTTTATTAGTATGAAAACTAGTGAAAATTGGATCAGTTAGAATGACAATGATTTATTATAGGGGCTCATTGACCAGATCCTCAGCTGGTGTAAATCATTGTATCTCAGTTAACTTCAGTGAAGTTTACTGATTTACACCAGCTGAGATTCTTTCCTTTAGAAATAATGTTGAGCCCTGAGAAAACAAGTAGTTCAAAAAACATCACTAGGGTGACATAGGCAGAGGACTAGCAGGTAGCATTTATGTACAACTTAAGTGGTATATAGGCATTGTGTCAGCCCTCAGCATGGGGTCAATTGCACCCCAGATGAGCAAGATATCACAAACCTTGTACCATACAGACTTAGCGTAATTTCCACATTTCCCGAAAACCTAAGTAGGGAAGCTATTGTTTGTAGACGGAAACAGACATAAAATATCTAAGAATCCCAAATCAGACCACTCCACTTTTTGGAATATAATCTCAGACAGAGATTGAGATTCCAGTTTTCAATAAAAAGATGTTCCAGTTCTGGATGATTAGTTGCGGTTAAAGCTCCATTCATGGGGATAGAAAATGTCAACTGCACTAGAGTGAGGATTCATGTTGCATCCTATAGGAACTGTGGAGTTAATATAACTTCACTTTCCAAGACTAGAATGAGTAGAAGGAAGTTTTGCATTCTTATTGTGGTGCTTTTTTCAGTTCTGGTGGATAATGTTATAGTTATTCTGTTTAAAAATGAAAAACACGTTTCTTTTGAGATAGCTGCATCACTGATGGATCATACCATTAAGCTGAGACAGCTTGTGATCAAGATTCTTTTTGTGGGACAAGCAGTTGCTAAAATTGATAGACTGGACAGTCTGCTCAGTCATTTGGCTCATTGTAAAACAACAGAGTCTGAGGCCTGGTCTACCCTGGGGGGGGGGAATCGATCTAAGTTACACAACTTCAGCTATGTGAATAATGTAGCTGAAGTAGACGTACTTAGATCAACTTACTGTGGTGTCTTCACCATGGTGAGTCGACTGCTGCCACTCCCCCGTCGACTCTGCCTGAGCCTCTCGCGGCGGTGGAGTACAGGAGTCGATGGGAGAGCACTCGGGGATCGATTTATTGCGTCTAGACTAGACGCGATAAATCGACCCCCGCTGGATCGATCGCTGCCCGCCGAATTGGCGGGTAGTGTAGACATACCCTGAACGTTTGGTTGGTCTGTTTTATAAAATTAGGTAAAAATGCACCAGATTTCCAAAACCTAACAGGCATACCAGGCTCATACTGTGGAACCTAGTCTTGTGGAAATTATCAAGTTCTTCGGCTTTATAAGATTGTTTGCTTGAAATAGCCCACCCTATTAGCAGGTGTTTATTCTTCTGTGGAATGTTAAATGTGCTCTCCTGATTTTAGACAGGTGACTTGTAACTGACCTGGATATAGGGAAGGTGGGAGTAACCTTAGAGGGAGGATCTAGGGCAGGGGTTCTCAAACTGGGGGTCAGGACCCTTCAGGGGGTCACGAGGTTATTACATGGGGGGGTCGCAAGTTGTCAGCCTCCAACCCAAACTCCACTTTGCCTCCAGCATTTATAATGGTGTTAAATATATTAAAAAGTGTTTTTAATTTATATGGGGGGGTCGCACACAGAGGCTTGCTTGTCACCAGTACAAAAGTTTGAGAACCACTGATCTAGGGGGAAGGCTGAGCAGTCCTAAGGTAGGAATCCTAGGAGCAGCCAAACCCAGTGTGAAGGTTTGAACTGAATTTTATATTTTTAATTTTTAATTTCAGTGTTGTTAAAAACTAAACCCAGGAAGGGTGAGTTGTTGACTCTGACATGTTTGGTATTTGTTTTAGAACAGATTTTTAAAAGCAACTGTCACAGAATTACTGCTGATTTTCCACAAACTCATGATTTGCCTCACATTCTCCAAGTCTCTTGACAACTAGAGTAAAACCAAACACACCTCCCCTTTTTCACGTAAAGGACTATGCTTACAATGATTGGATAATGAGAGATTTCTTAGTGAGCAACTGTAATCTTATAACAAATGTGATGGTGGGGGTATGTCATTTTCATGTTTACCCTTGGCAATTTAGTTATTTGTTTAAAATTTAAGTATTTGGGGAAATTATTTCTGTGCAGATGTGGTAAACATTCAATTTTCAGAAAAATACATAGGGGCCATTTTGTTTGATGGAGTGAAGATTCTGAGGATATTACAGAGTAGTGAGATGGGTATTCATACTTTCTCACACAAATGACCTTTGACAAGTTCAGTTATAGGCTTACTTACATACTAGGCACTAATGGATGTTTACTGCCAGAGAATCAGGAGAGAGATTGTTAAAATAATATTTAGCCCCAAATGCACTACAAATGCTTTTGACAATACTGCATATATTCTTGCATTTGTTTACTAAACCACACTGATAAGGAAATAGAAGAATGTTGCGGTTAAACAAAACAGGGGTAAGAGGGGGTGCCAGTCCACCAATTTCATGGTCATGCAGCATGACCCAAGTGGCAACTCAGTATTGGTTCCTCATTCTCTGGGCTAGCAGTGCCTGGCAGTACTTTACAGGAAAGGTTGGGGTACTTCCTGTCTTCCTAAGTAAGCCTGTCTTACTGATCCAGGATTGTCGTTTAACAAGTTCCTTGAAGGAGCTATATCCAACACTCCTTGCTTAGAAGAACAGGCTTGCCCAATGTGAATCCTTTGACAGGGGAATGAAGTGAAGAAATGGGGGACCCTACAGTACATCTCTCCCCAAAATGAGAGATGGGGGAAACCATTCATTTTTACCAGGCTTCTCTGGCTTTGAATTTTAAGGCTTCACTTACAAACAGTTCTTGCTCTCATCTGGGCTAAAATAATATCGAGGTTTTTAATGGAGGAAAATGGCTTATGATTTAAGTAATAAAATCTAAAAAAGTTTGGCAAATTAGTTTGGTAAGTTACAGGAGTGTAAGGGTAGAGCCTCCTGCCTTAAACCCCCATGCGAGATTCAAGCAAATCTCAGTCCTTATGCTCAATTGATTGCAAAGAATGCATTTATTTAGAGGTGCTAGCCACTCCAAAACCATTAGGAAGGAAGCGTTACTGTGGTCCCACCCTCTGACCAGCTGTGTAGCACAGCACATGCTGCACCCTCTGAAACTGCATTGTAGTGACAGCACCGCCCCTATGCACCATGGACCTAGGAGAGGCTTTATATCATTTTTTTTTCTTCCACTAGAAATTTTTACCATACAAAACTGAGTGATTTACAGAAGCTCTGTGAAAACTTCACTTCCCT